TGTTGTATTTGTGTGATATGTGGTGTTATATTTGTGTGATATTTAGTGTTATATTTGTGTGATATTTGGTGTTATATTTGTGTGATATTTGGTGTTACATTTGTGTGATATTTAGTGTTACATTTGTGTGATATTTAGTGTTATATTTGTGTGATATGTGGTGTTACATTTGTGTGATATTTAGTGTTATATTTGTGTGATATGTGGTGTTATATTTGTGTGATATTCGGTGTTGTATTTGTGTGATATGTGGTGTTACATTTGTGTGATATTTAGTGTTATATTTGTGTGATATGTGGTGTTACATTTGTGTGATATTTAGTGTTATATTTGTGTGATATGTGGTGTTATATTTGTGTGATATTCGGTGTTGTATTTGTGTGATATGTGGTGTTACATTTGTGTGATATTTAGTGTTACATTTGTGTGATATGTGGTGTTATATTTGTGTGATATTTAGTGTTATATTTGTGTGATATGTGATGTTACATTTATGTGATATGTGGTGTTACATTTGTGTGATATTTGCTCTTATATTGGTGTAATATGTGGTGTTACATTTGTGTGATATATGATGTTACATTTGTGTGATATGTGGTGTAATATTTGTGTGATATTTGGTGTTATATTTGTGTGATATTTAGTGTTACATTTGTGTGATATGTGGTGTTATATTTGTGTGATATGTGGTGTTATATTTGTGTGATATTTAGTGTTACATTTGTGTGATATGTGGTGTTATATTTGTGTGATATGTGGTGTTATATTTATGTGATATGTGGTGTTACATTTGTGTGATATTTGCTCTTATATTGGTGTAATATGTGGTGTTACATTTGTGTGATATATGATGTTACATTTGTGTGATATGTGGTGTAATATTTGTGTGATATTTGGTGTTATATTTGTGTGATATTTAGTGTTACATTTGTGTGATATGTGGTGTTATATTTGTGTGATATTTAGTGTTATATTTGTGTGATATGTGATGTTACATTTATGTGATATGTGGTGTTACATTTGTGTGATATTTGCTCTTATATTGGTGTAATATGTGGTGTTACATTTGTGTGATATATGATGTTACATTTGTGTGATATGTGGTGTAATATTTGTGTGATATTTGGTGTTATATTTGTGTGATATGTCATATTTGTGTGATATGTGGTGTTATATTTGTGTGATATATGATGTTACATTTGTGTGATATGTGGTGTAATATTTGTGTGATATTTGGTGTTATATTTGTGTGATATGTGGTGTAATATTTGTGTGATATTTGGTGTTACATTTGTGTGATATGTGGTGTTATATTTGTGTAATATGTGGTGTTACATTTGTGTGATATGTGGTGTTATATTTGTGTGATATTTGGTGTAATATTTGTGTGATATTTGGTGTTATATTTGTGTGGTATTTGGTGTTACATGAATGCGATATCTGGTGTAATATTTGTGTGATATTTGGTGTTATATTTGTGTGGTATTTGGTGTTACATGAATGCGATATCTGATGTAATATTTGTGTGATATTTGGTGTTATATTTGGGTGATATGTGATGTTACATTTGTGTGATATTTGGTGTAATATTTGTGTGATATTTGGTGTTATATTTGTGTGGTATTTGGTGTTACATGAATGCGATATCTGGTGTAATATTTGTGTGATATTTGGTGTTATATTTGTGTGGTATTTGGTGTTACATGAATGCGATATCTGATGTAATATTTGTGTGATATGTGGTGTCATATTTGTGTGATATGTGGTGTTATATTTGTGTGATATGTGGTGTTACATTTGTGTGATATGTGGTGTTATATTTGTGTGATATGTGATGTTACATTTATGTGATATGTGGTGTTACATTTGTGTGATATTTGCTGTTATATTGGTGTAATATGTGGTGTTACATTTGTGTGATATATGATGTTACATTTGTGTGATATGTGGTGTAATATTTGTGTGATATTTGGTGTTATATTTGTGTGATATGTGATGTTACATTTATGTGATATGTGGTGTTACATTTGTGTGATATTTGCTCTTATATTGGTGTAATATGTGGTGTTACATTTGTGTGATATATGATGTTACATTTGTGTGATATGTGGTGTAATATTTGTGTGATATTTGGTGTTATATTTGTGTGATATGTGGTGTAATATTTGTGTGATATTTGGTGTTACATTTGTGTGATATGTGGTGTTATATTTGTGTAATATGTGGTGTTACATTTGTGTGATATGTGGTGTTATATTTGTGTGATATTTGGTGTAATATTTGTGTGGTATTTGGTGTTATATTTGTGTGATATGTTACATTTGTGTGATATATGATGTTACATTTGTGTGATATTTGCTGTTATATTTGTGTGATATGTTACATTTGTGTGATATGTGGTGTTATATTTGTGTGATATTCGGTGTTGTATTTGTGTGATATGTGGTGTTACATTTGTGTGATATGTGGTGTTATATTTGTGTGATATGTGGTGTCATATTTGTGTGATATATGGTGTTATATTTGTGTGATATTTGTGTAATATTTGGTGTTATATTTATGTAATATGTGGTGTTACATTTGTGTGATATGTGGTGTTACCTTTGAATGATATTTGGAGTTACATTTGTGTGATATTTGATGTTCTATGGGTGTGATATGTGGTGTTACATTTATGTGATATGTGACGTTATTATTGTGTGATAATTGGTGCAATTTTTATGTAGTATTTGGTGTTATATTTGTGTGGTATTTGGCGTGAAAATTGTTGGTACACTTCCAGAACTAACACTTGCAAATTTACATAATTCAATTCCAACATTAAAACACTCTTATGCTATATAAAGTCTTTTTTATTGCTGGCAACTTTCGATGACGTCATTTTAATCGTCCTAAAGTGTTGCTTGTTGGCATGGTTTTTCCTTTTATTGTAAAGTCTTATTAGTATCTTGGATCGTAACAATATTTACGTAGATTGACCGAGATTCTAATGAAGCCGATGAAGGAAAAAATACGCTTTCCTTTTTTGAACAATTGATCTTATTTGTCATTGGTTCAAATTTTGGCCTATCACCAGGATCCAGTTGTTCAAACAACATGGTTACGGCCTTGGTAAGGTGTTTTCTGCACCAAGGCCCCGATGGTTAACGTCTTGTTAGGTTACCTAAGCACTATGAAAGGTCCAAATGATTAAAGTTTCGTCAGGTTTCATAAGCGCCATGAAAGGTCCAGATTGTTAAAGTCTTGTTAGGTTACCTTAGCACATAGGTCTCGATGGATAAAGGCATTTTAGTTTTGAGTCTAGTAAGGTTACCTAAGCACCATGAAGGTCAAAATAGTTAAAGTCTTGTTAGGTTACCGAAGAACCATGAAGGTCCAGAAGGAAATGTCAGAAGCTAGATTTTTTTTTAAATTATGAGACATCTTTTATAAAAAAAAAAGATGAAAATAGGTGAAAACAGCTTTTTCAATATAACGCGGACATTTTTCTCTTCATATATAAACGATTTTCAAACCTAAGGACCCGGTATTTCCTGGGTTAAACAATTTCAACGTGATCCGGAAACATGACACAGACATTTCCTTATATGAATAATACAGCGTTAGAAATTAGCAGGAAGTTTTTAGTCGTGATAATGACGTATCAGATCTTACTCCAGTTATAATATTTACTATCTAATCATTACCCAGATAACATGTACACTTACAGGATGTTACTATATATAATGTCAACAGCCATTTATTGTAAGGTATCCATAACAATTTGTTTGGTAGTGGAAGAGGGGCTGGGGAGGGCGAGGGTAACACTTATGAAAACATTCTTCTATGTTTATAAAGAGGATGATCCCAACTATTTGTGCAGTTATAGACTTTTAAGAAGTACGTTTTCTAAAGTTGAAAAAAAAATTAGTTGTGCACAATTTCCAAAGACAATGGAAAATTTTCGTTACTCTAGATATCGTACCTAGTGAGACTTCAAAAATTTATTTCTTCAACAAACTAATAATGGCTTGGACGACTGGTGCTCTATTTTATATCAACCAAGCCGAATTTTTTTTTTCTTTTTTTTTTTTTTTTTTGGTTTTTTAAAAAAAAAGCTTACCATTTGCTGATGATTTTCATATTTCAAAAAAGTTGCCCCTTTGTTACTTTCTAACAGACTATTGGCACACCTAAGGAAACCATCTGCCCCCTCCCTTGTCTCACTTGTTTTCAATTTCATTTTTATATATATTGGTGCCGTCTTACCTAAAAAACAAGAAATATAATCACTATGACCATCGTTTCTAACCAACAGAATTGAAATCAACGATACTACGGACTCATCTAAATCAGCCATTTACCTCGATCTTTTCTTACAACAGATCAAATATGACATGCTGCCCAATAAGTTATATGATATGTGTTATGATTTCAGTTTCCTTCAATAGTGTAACCCTGGTAAAATACTAGCCGCAATATACCACTCGTCTAGAGAAATTTTCTCTTTAGCTCGATTGGTTGAGCGTCCGACAAGTAAGCCAGGGGTTGTTCCGTTGTTGGTCACATTGAGTTCGTTTGGGAACGTGACGTTAGTTACTCGTATTGATCAGAATTGGCATGACAAGTGTCGACAATGACGTAGGAGACCCTTACACTTCCGGGACTCCAGGTCTGATTCTCCAAGTGCCTTTTCAGGATTCACCGTGTAAATCTTAACTTTGTTCATACTTTGCCATAGTTTATCGAAATTGTGTTTGAATTATAATTTTGTTGACAAATCGCTGTACTCTGTGTTTTTTAAGCATTTCCGCCGTATAAGGTTAAACCAGATTGTGTCACCGTACTCCACAGATTGTGTCACCGTACTCCAGATCATGACAAACCTATTTCCGTTGAGAAAAGTGTTTTCATAGAGTGTAGTAGTTGAAGTGTAAGTAGTGTTTAACAGTGACAGACTGACTGACATTGGCGGAGAAGGATGATATAACAAATGATAACAGAAATCTTCAGCAGACTTATGCGTAGAAAGACAAGTCCCGTCGACTTTGTGTACAATTCCACAATCGATAATTAGACAAAGTCACTGATACCAAGCTAAAGGTAAGATTATATATTTTTATTTGTCCGAAGTTTATGAGTGATTCAGTAATGACTTCTATTTGCAAATGGACAGCAAAATAGTATGCTATGCACTTGAGTTTGTAATGATTATCTTTTTTATTAACATTTCTATCATATTATATCCGTGATATTTTGCTACTATAACAAAGCCATTGAACATGATATTGTCTTCTTCCCTATGTTGCCTTTTTCCTTATTTCTTTTGTTGCCCTCGTCTTTAGCCTCAAGGTTGAGCTTCCGCCCAAGTAAGGGACATTTGTTCTATATCAGGAACAAGACGGTTCTATATGATTGACACTTTCTGTTTTAATGACATGAACTGGCGATTTTGTATTTGGTTCTGAAGATGTAATTCCAGCTGGTGTTACACTCCCCATAGAAACCATCCATACCAGGACTTCTTTCAAACTCTCCAAGTTTTCGCTACTGTAAGTGACATACCAAACTAAACACTAGAATTTTCAACATTTAGATTAAAAAGCCTGAATGACCCATAATAATCGAGAAAAAATTGAAAGGAATTAAAAAATTAGAAGTTAGAAAAAAACCTAAATGCTAATTGTAAAAATTGTGCTAACTCGTGCACAACTGTTCGTGCAAGCTTTTGGCACAATGTTGTTGTAAGGTATTTGAATAGTTATCGACACATACCTCCTCTCAGGTATTATATTAAGCAAACAACTGATTTAAATCATGCCTGCAAAATTCTTCACTACACGTCAGACATGCTGCTATGTATAATGATGGACACGTTACAAAATTAGATGATTTTTTAAAAAAATTTTTTCAGATTCGCCATGGATTCCACGTGTGGTAAACTGTTTATGTCAATTATCGTTCTACCGTTTGCAGCCGGACATGTTCGGAGACGACGGAATGGACAGCAGTATCATGACTGTAGCATCTCGTCCCGTGTCCTGCTGATGATCATCGCTACAACGGTGTTAGTTTTCACTTCCAGCCCTAATATATTAACACATGCAGGAATTCGACGGGGGATGGTTATGTTTCTACTGACAGTGATCATGGTCTGTACAATGTTAGGCATATTGAGCTTAGCATTTTCGGTACAGAGACATGGTCTCCTTTCTGTGGTTGCTGCCAGAAGAAATACGAGCACCATGAAGCTTCAGATGATATTTCTGTGGGTTTTCGGCTTAGCATCGGGATTTTATTGTGCTTTTTTCCTCGCCAAGCAACTGGAATGTTTTTCAAAAACTAACGGAGATCTTTTTTGGAATATATTATTCTGTTTTAATGTCACGTTAATTCTTTCGATATTCGTTGAAATGGTTTTTCTTTCCTACTTTTCACATTTTCAACTGAGGCAGACAACTTCAGTGAATTGTGTGATGTTTTTAGCTCTAACAGCGAATATATCTGTAATACTGTACATATATTTCGTGAGGGATACATTTGAGCTGATTAAGAAAATCAGCGCTGATAATAACCTCGTAGCATGCATAGAAAGGAACAGTACAATCATTGTTCTTCTACATAAATCAAGTCTTTTTCTTGGTCCAGCATTTGCTGAATATGCCCTTCTATCAATTACAATTCTTCTTGAAATATGGTCACCGATACAGTCGACACATTCTGAGAGCGAATCACGTGACAATGACCCGGGGGATTCCGAACACACAACTATGGTAAATGAGACTAACCAAGTTGACTCCGAACGGTTACCTCTCATTCCCTCTAGCGATGATACACAGCCCGGGAGCGGGCAGGCCGAAATCGGGACCTATCAACCAGACAATGATGGTAGACGTAAGATGCCATACCAGTCATGTAGTCCCATGTCCGAAATCGAGGTTAATCAACAAGCCAATAGCAGTAGACAGAAGGTATCACATATTTTTACACTGGCTGGAAGTTTAATAACAGGACTTGGACTTGTCATATGTTATATCACTCAGGCAATGGATATAGGAAATTTAGACAAAATCCGTTACGCCACAGAAATGTATGAGCTTGCTTTAACAGTTATAATGACACTTGTGCTCTTTATTGGTTTCTTTTGTTTAATTAATGATTGTGTTCCTGATAAAACAGCGAAACCGCTACGGCCATGCGATTACGTCTATTTGCTGTCAGCATTCGGCGTTTTTATGTTTCATTTTTACGAGATATTAGGCGGTGATATTTTACCCGATTCAGCCACTAGTATTTTTTTTTATAAAAGCATCCTAAGTTTATTCCAGGATTACCTACAGGTTGTTTTTCTATTGCAGGCAAATCGTTGTCAGAAAGGTCGATCCAAGGTCGATTTACTGGAATCGGTCCTGATATTTACAATGATCATGAATGTAGTTTTTTGGTTTACCTATAGTTTCCTGATAGCTGAATTTCCAAGTACCCGCATATTAGAAAATGCTCATTTTTCTAAAGAATTATTGGATCAAGTATATGGGTTTTTATTGTCCGTAGCCGTGTTCTTTCGATTCACTTCTTTTTTAGAATACTACGCAACCTTTGGGAAGTATAACTCCTAGAACACTCCATGTAAATAAAATTAGAATTGTCCAAGGATACACATATAATGTTCTTGTTCATATTTTGGCATTGTTTCATCGATTTTCAGCTTGAAATATGTAGGTAATGCTACTGTGAAAGATGTAATTGTCGTGTTAACGAATCTCTTTTAATTCTATTTTATCAAATTGGCATCTCTCTGTTTGTTTTAACCCTATCACACGTTGAAAATTGTCAAAGTATCAGTTGAACTTGATTAAATCTTTTAGTTACTGCCACAGACACAAACGCCTTTCTTGGTTTTACTTATGGAGAAATGTAAGATCCTAAATGTGTATGATTCATACGGTTTAATACAATAGATCAGCTTGTATATGACATAAGACATTTAATTGATCGTCAAATTCATATTGTCTGTAGAATGACATACATTTGTTAAAAATAGTACGTTGTTGCATCATATCACATATGCTTTTGTCGAAATCACATTTAGAGATTTATATATTTGGAAATGAATGAAAGAAAATTGTCGAACTTTAAAACTATAGTTAACGCCACCAGAAATGTAGTTTATAGCTTGTGTTGTGTACCATGGGATTGTCTCTCTTATCGAATGCATCATGTATAGATGTATGTTACCCATTTTAATCCTCATTTTACTGATTTTTTGCACAGTATATAGACAGACTGATGTGTCTTTTACTTCCTATATATATAGAATTCATCATATTTATTCCTCGTAGGTCCGCTAAAATGTAGGGTATTGATAAAACAATAGTATATCAATTGACATATTTTCACACTTTTGTTTTGATCTTGTTATGTGACCCGTAAAGTACCCTAATTTACCCGATGATGGAAAATACTTAACTTTGCTTCGATTTCAAAGTGTCAAATTCTAGATGCTGAATTCACTACGGCGCTTTTTTCAAATTTTCAAAAGAAGTGTTTTGATGGAAATCGGAAAGGTACGTGATAACAGTATAATTCAATATAAAGCAAACGTTTCAGTCATTTTTCCTTCAACATAAAATATCTTCGAATCGTAATCTGTACCTGGTACACCCTGTCTTGATAAGAAAACATTTTCCATATCAACTGGATACATGACACCAAATATCGTGCGTAATCAGCAGGAAGTACCTCGTCGTAATTCAACGTTGAGTCATGATAAGGACATGTCATATTTTACTGCAATCACACTGTTTATTATCTAGAAATCAGTTGTATTGTTTTGGGTAGAATTTGTTTACCATAGATATACCCTTTACATTACGAGGAGGCAGTGATATTATTATTAAATGTTGATAGATATCCTTCTAATGCTTATTCCAGCCATCTGCGCCACTATAGAGTATTAGAGGTATCAATTCCAATGTTGTACATATATACAAAGCTGTACAATAAAAGTTCTTATTTTAATTCGCTGACTTTGAATTTTCCATTTGTAATAGCAGCATTCCTGTATCATCAACCTACTGTGATTACACCTAGTTTGTATTATTATGAGGCAGCAGACCTGATGTTCTAAGACATATTCCAAATATTACGATTATCATGAAAGAAGTAGGCTGGACAGGATTTCGAGAAATGCAGGTTGACGAAGATTTTGGAGACGATACAATGTCATCATGATGATCTCATTGATATTCAGTATTTCTTTGTCCGATATCAAGCTTGTTAGTGTATCCGGAGGTTCCGTTGTTCTTTACCTTGTTCTGAGTTGGAAAACTTGACAATACTTAATTGGATTAACCTGGCAGGCCTTCAGGTCGATGAAGCAATGGATGCGTACCGTTAAAGAACGCCTGGTCTTCATTTTTCGAGAGAATCCATGTAATTCTGTATTTTGTTCCTACTTTGTTTCAACGAATTTGTGTTTGAATTCGTTTTGTTGATTTTGAAATTGCTCTCATCGACAGAATACACAGCCTTCTAAGATTGAAACAAATTGTGTCGCTTGATACCATTGGATGAAAAGCTATTTCCCGTTCAGATATAGTGGTTTGCTGAATATTGAAAACGCCCTCATACAGGTGTAGTAGTTGAAGTGAGACTTTATAACATTATCGCACGATAAAAAGCAATGACGAGGTATAGACACACCTACATTAAATATGTGTTTGATCTAGATTCTACCTAAGCCTCTACAACAGACTCTAACGAGGAAATACTCGTCGACGCTTCATAGCAAAACTAAAGCAATCTAAATTGCTGTGTGACTTGTCGTCACCATACAGATATTCTAAAGTAGACTAACGCGAAGTAAGACTCGTTGTCATCATAAAGATGATCTAAAACAGACTAAAGCGAAGTAAGACTCGTCGTCACCATACAGATATTCTAAAGCAGACTAAAGCGAAGTAAGACTCGTCGTCACCATACAGATAATATAAAGCAGACTAAAGCGAAATAAGACTCGTCGACGCCGTACAGATATTCTAAAGCAGACTATAGCGACGTAGGACTTGTCGTCACCATACAGATATTCTAAAGCTGACTTAAGCGGAGTAAGACTTGTCGTCACCATACAGATATTCTAAAGCAGACTAAAGCGAAGTAAGACTTGTCGTCACCATACAGATATTCTAAAGCAGACTAAAGCGAAGTAAGACTTGTCGTCACCATACAGATATTCTAAAGCAGACTAAAGCGAAGTAAGACTCGTCGTCACCATACAGATATTCTAAAGCAGACTAAAGCGAAGTAAGGTTCGTCGTGACCATACAGATATTCTAAAGCAGACTAAAGCGAAATAAGACTTGTCGTCACCATACAGATATTCTAAAGCAGACTAAAGCGAAGTAAGACTCGTCGTTACCATACAGATATTCTAAAGCAGACTAAAGCGAAGTAAGGTTCGTCGTCACCATACAGATATTCTAAAGCTGACTAAAGCGAAGTAAGACTCGTCGACGCCGTACAGATATTCTAAAGCAGACTAAAGCGAAATAAGTCTGGTCGGCATCATGCAGAAACCTAAAGAAGACTTCCGCGTATCAAAACTCGTCACATCGGCTTTTCAATATTCTACAATCATAGTTAGACAAAGTCGCTGACATCGAGTATAATATGCTCGTCATGTTGAGTTTGTAATAAATATCTTTTTGGATGTCTTTTATATAATATTGATATATTGTAGTAATGATATTTTCTACCATAACACAATATTCTGTGGTATTCTCGCGCTAACTGATAGGAAAAGAGACAACGTTATAGTGAGAAAGTAACAAGACCTGGTAGGCATTAACCAATGAAGTGTCAATATATCCAACAAAACATTTATTATCTTAAGTCGAAATATTTTACTACCGTATGCTTTAAAGCCGATAATATGATTCACTGAGGCATGGTTGTCCGCCTAGGTGCTCTTTCTTGTGTCTTCTACTTGGATCAGAATTTGGATAAAATCAAATCTTTATGAACATACACCGTTGTTAGTGCAAAAGTATTTAAATGCTGATTTATAACATATCTTATCTCAAGAACCAAAGTAACCATACAGTCCATATAAATAATGTTTTGGAAATTCTCAATGTGAGACATTCAGTAACAACATTTTTTCAGTCATGGATTCACTGTTCGGCAAGCTGTTTACGTCCATCTTTATTTTACCATTTGCAGCCGGACATGTCCGGAGAGGACCTAATGGATCGCGGCATTATGACTGTAGCATCCCGTCCCGTGTCCTGTTTTTGATTATCGCCATAATAGTGATACTATTCACTTCCAGCAAATGAATATTAACATACGAAGGAAATCGATTAGGGATCGTCCTTCATATAGTGACAGTAATTGTATGTGCAATCTATATAAACAGACTTTATCATGTTTATGACCTCTTGTGGACCAGCTAAGATGTAAAGGATTGGAGAAAATACGGCAGATTGATTGACACCTTTTTACATTATTTTTTTAAATTGGTGTACTGTGACATAATGTTAAGGAGTAGAGGGAAGGCACTCACGGATATAAAATAACTAGAGTCAGTTTTATCAACACAAATGGTCGGAATGAAATCAGGATGCAGTTCACAATATCGTAGTGCACATAGAGGTAAAAGTAACTACTAAGTACCCGTCATTCAGTACATGTACCGATCTTCATCAGTTGACAATGTCAATTGTGGTGGAAAGAAATGTCACAACTCAGGAAAGCAGCTAAATCTATGACTTTCCCAATGTCTCTGTGGTATTGTCAACACAAGAAATAACCAATATGTCAACAGGATTGTTATCCAAACTCAAATTCCTTCCTACTAAGAAAACATATGAACAAAAGAAAAATTTACACGGAGAATCCGAAAAAAGTACAAGAAGAATAAGACTATGTGTTTCGGAAGAGTTAGCGTCTTTTACTTCATTGACGACGCCCGCCATTTAAATCTTTTACAGTCAAATGAGAACAAGGTATACAACAACGGAACCAATATGCAAACTACTGAGCATCAAACACGCCCAGATTCATATCGCATAAAAATAAAATATTTCCCAATTAGATCATTATGACGACCATAATACTTCCCCGTGATTTTCATCAGCATGCATCTTTTGAAACCCTGTGTTAAAGGTTGGTCCGTCAGTTAGCGACTAGGAAAATCGTACTTATGGGAGCAGACGCTTGAATATCAAATTAAATGTGACATGTAAGCACCATAGATGGAGATGCAGAGATGTTGTTATACAGAAATGGAAAATTCACAATAGGGAAATTGAAATCGTCACGCTTATCACACAGCTTGGTGGAAAGCTGTCCATGTTAGTTTCGTTGTAGTAAAAGTCGAGATAAGCGGCTAATATTGATGAGTCTGTCCTGTCTTTGATATCCAACTCTGGTGGGTATATAAGATGGACGTGGCCAATAAATTTCTTGTTATTTAGAGAAAAGATGCATATTAAAGCGAAATTAAACTAACGAATTTGCAATGTCTTTGTGACCTATTTTGATAAGCTCTTCAATAAATTCAGCTTCGTGTGGGAATGGTGTAGTATATTGTATTGAAATCGTGTTGTACAAGAGCTTTTGTCCATAACTGGAACAAACTCTGGTTGTCCAAGTCCTGTCATTGAAAAGTTTTTAAAGCCTGTTTAAACAAATATTGTAACAATGTCCCATTCAAGTTTTATCCATGTTTTAACCTGCAAACACGGAAGTTGTATCAAGTGACACTGATTCAAATGCGCCACTCTCTGCTAGCAAATGCTGTTCAATAAGGTCTTCAGATTTCGGGTTTTCCTGTATAAAATTGACTTCCTTGTCATACAACATACAAATGTAATTTGTATCTGTGACATTCCTATTATATTTCTTTTATAACAATCACATATTGTGCATTAAATTAAGGACCAATTAGCGCATGCTCAGAATCTACGATACACATTTATATATTCTGTCCCTTTTATGTAAAATAGACTGTTGTTTGCTATACTGCCGAAAGGTACAAGGAAGTGATATATCTTACCTTGGTGTAAGGTAGGTGGAACGTTATCAATATAGGGCATTTATAGATTGAGATAAGAGAATAGTTAGATATGCTACAGCTATACATCATAGTTGTAATGTAGTTATATCCGTGATAATTGTCTCTAATATATATGTGTAAGAAAAGCTTATTCGTGGGCCCGATTTACACACAAAAATGATAGAAAAGATAAGTGTTACTGATATCAAATATAGAAAACATTGAAAAATATATTCAAACAATTACCAAAAAAAAAAAAAAAAAAAAAAAACATTTTGTATTGTTGTTCATAGTTTGTATATCTATGTTTTATTTCCTGGCTTTATCAGCAATGCTTCTATTTTGGTAATGTGTGTTAACATTTCATTGTCATAGGACTTTTATCAAGAATAATAAGACACAATTTTAACTCATTCTTGCAATACAATTAAAGCGCCAAAACGCCATGTTTTCTACTACCTATGAAAAATCTCTTTTAAATTTACATATATGTAACTGAAAATAACGAGAATTAATACCGGTTAAAGCCTTTTTCAAACCGTTGTTTGTTTTTCTTCAATACATGCAGTTATATGTGGGGATTTCATACAACCTTTTCAAAAGAAGTATTGTATTCAGAGTTTGATATTCAGTGTAACATTGGGTAGAGAGTTATCTTAAAATATATGTAGAAATGGCAAAACAATTCTCCATTACAATGACTAAGTTACTTGAATTTTGTTATCAACGCAATTAACAAAATTAGCTGTGATCAGTTTTGCAAAATTGGTGAGAATATTGACTCATTGCTTGTTTTTAATGTGTAGATGGTACTCACAACTGTTCAAACGAAGGCGTCATTGCGTACACGATCGACATTGCAAAATTGTCGAGTTCAGTCAGGTATGACTTGATTTTGGTCGTTCAAATTGGAGATAAATATTTAAATTAGGGATTGGTAACATACAGATGTTGAAATAGGCTCTTCTCTGGGATAACCTTCTCACAAGCCATAAACGTCATGGTTTCCAAATAAAGAATTCGCTATGTATCAAATAAGATATATAACAGTTGGAATGTAAACAGAAGACAGATTTACACAGTTTAAATAGTGTGTCGAGGATGTCTAAATATGAAAATTTAGGTAACGTTGCTTCCTCACACTGAGGACAGTGATAGCTGATATAGAATAAACAGAAGCATCAATATCAAAACAGGAAGTTTCAAATTGATGAGGATAAAAATACATTAAACAGTTTTCTTTTCTCAAAACTTTCTTTTTCGTCAGCACTCCATCAAAATATGTAACATTAATCATCATATTGGCACAAGTTCTTGAAACTATAGGTTGACGAGGAGTGCTTGTTACGTTGCTTCTAAATGTCTATAAAAATGGTTCAAGTAGGAGCTTTTCGTTATTTAAGTTCTATTTAATTTCGCCAAAATGAGGTGACATCATAATATAAATGATAGAAGATATATAATGAAGTAATAGCAACAGTACGGATAAGTGAATTGTCAAATTTGCGAGACAATCTCTCCATTTATCAAGACACAAATATTATATAAGTTACATCACATACATAGAACATAAAACAAATACAGAGTTATAAATCTAAATCGAAAGTGGTGGTATAAATTTGGATGTCTCGATAATCCCTTCGAATTCGATGGACGCCGAATGCCCTTTATAACGGACAAGAAACCATCCCAAGTTGTTGTATGTAAGATGGTGATTGAAATATCAAAAATGTTTTATATCAATCTCAGTATGTTTTACACTCTAGACACTAAGCGTATATGTGATCGCAACGAAAACAATTGCACGTCACACTCCGAGGAAAGAAGTCTACCGGTACCTCTTGGCCACATTGGCTCAGTTTAGTTGTCTATCCCTTTATGTAATGTCAACAGCTATGGCCATCAAAGACGGACATAATAGGTTCTTGATAAACAAAACATTTAACCATAGTAATCGGATGTACTCGTTTGAATATAAATCACAAGTTGTTGCTTGTTCAGGATGTGGTTGTTATATCTTAAATTACCTCTTTCTAAATCAATGTTGAATATTTTTTTTATAATTTTCCACAGGCCAAATAAGGGAACGACCTTACATTGTGATGGGGAATATTTGCAAAGACCTGGTCACGGCATTAGTAATTCTGCCGATCACAGCTGGGAATTACCAAAGGCGACAAAATGGTTCCAGGTATTTCGACGGTACTATATCGTCTACAGTTTTCTTTCTCATCTTCCTTGCTGTCATCATCATATTTACGATCAGCAAGAATATTGATCACGACCAGGAAAAGCGTATGGGGGTAGTGTTCTTGTTACTAACGACAATCATGGTCTTGGGAGTGGCTGCATGTGTTACTCTCGGCTGCATCATCAAAAAGCATGGTCTAGCATTGGTAGTGTCGAAGAGGCGAGAGGGAAACATCACCAAGCTACAGATAATATTCCTCTGGATTTTCGGAATAGTGGCCGGCTTGCTTTCAATTAGTCTAATAGGACAGCAAAGTGTGTGTGAGGTTTACAATTCCATCATAGATGGAGGTAGATTTTTCTGGAATTCTAGATTGATTTTCAATTCAATAACGATGCTATTTTTATTTACTGAAATAATATTCATCAGTTATTTTGTTCAGTATAACCTTAGAAACTCTACCTTCATTCGTTACGTGTTGTTTATACTTTTGTCTGCCAATGTTTCAGTGTGGCTACATAGTGTTATCATAGACAACGAGCTTTTCCCTGACAATATCCTTGAGAAACAGTTCGGCAACAGTAGTAACATTCTATACTGTATTCAAAACGGTACGTTTGGAACTATTATCAACAAATTCAAAACAGTTTCTAATCCTTGTTTCTTAGAGTTCTGCTTACTATCTGTCACAATGCTTTTAGAGATGTGGTCTCCTACTACGACAGAAAACAGCTCTGAAGAGGAGGTACAGACATACCAGGAACTTAATCGATTGAGTTATTCTGTAAACGACCGATCAACGCTCTTGGAAATCTCTGTTGACAACGAAGACAGATCCTCTGGTGCAAGACCCGGTCGGACTATCCAGCAACTCGTCACGTTTTTTGTGACTGTAGTCATCGGTTTAGGTTTGGATGTTTCTTATTTAGTTTGTGTATGGTTTCCCAAAAATGCTGAGATACTTATGATGATGGAAAGGTATCATACTATCATTACTATCGCTATGATTGTGGCAAACTTTGTCGGATTTTACTGTTTAGTTCATTATTGTAAGCCGGACAGGGCAAATAAGCCCTTGAAAGTTAGTGAATATGTGTATCTGTCGTCTGTATTAGGGATCCTCATGATACACGTGTGTGAGATTGTCTCGGCTTATTACACACAAGGTCCTATCGCACAACTAAACTTGATTACATACATTCTCGGAATAGTACAGATTTATTTACAAGTTGTATTTCTGCTTCATGCTAACAGGTGTAAAATATCTAACATACAAACAAATGTTCATCTTCTTGATTGTGTACTGATATTCCTTATGGTTATCAACTTGAACATATGGATGAGTGATAGTTTCATTGTAGAACAATTTTCAGTTCTCAAAGACGTTGAAAAACAAATCCTCGGAGACATTGTAATGAACCTTTACTATCACGTTCTCCTACCAACTAGTATTTTCTTCAGGTTTTCATCTGCACTGGAGCTGTTTGCAACTTTTAAAATGTACAGTAAAAATTGTACACGTCATGTCTTACACTGCCGTTGAATGATTTTTTTGGTGCTGTTGTAACTGTACAAAGTTTAGCCTCTTTTCCAACTGCATTTGTCTTTGTGTATATATACTTTACTTCAGTATGTCTTTGTTGACAATAAATAATAACCACTCACGTCCTCCATATTGAAATAAATTGAAATAGGTTTTGTAGTATTACTTTCCATGTAAGTACGCTTTGATGCATAATATACGAGACTGTAGAATAATTTTCCAGTACAAAGTGCAATTCCGTGTTGATGATCGTTGTTTCGTTCTATCACTTCTCTTTGATTTATGGGTCTCGATTTTGAAATTCGGGGTTTTTTTTTAGTTGCCTTCTAAATGTAAAATTTTAGGCCCTCGGCATCGCATGATGTAATTAATTATTTGGCTGTTCTGTATCTAATTCAGAATTTGTATTTAAAGGTAGCATTCAATCGTGCCTCTTTTGTATGTGTTGGTTTCTTTAAATGAACACAATAAAATTGAGCCAGCATTTCAAAAATAGCACTTTTATTTATGGAAAACAAGACAATAAATAACAACACATGAGAGGCATTATAAAGCTTGACCCGGAGCCCGGATCGGAAAGGATTTCTTCACGACAAGGACATTATCCTTTCTTTTTCAGAAGGTACAGTCCTGCTCCAGCCAATGCGAGAGCTGAAAGTTACAAAATATTAAATTTAGATAAAAAATACATTGAGTTTTAATGATAATGCAAAAATCTTAAATATCGGTAACTAGATATCTTTTTTTTCGACAAAACATTAAGTGTTTCAGTAAATGCTCATAGTAAACACTTTTGATCAATAGGAGCCAAATATATCTCAAATCCAGTTCTACTGATTTCTGAACCATGTAGAAATAACCAAAAAAATAAATCAGGTATTGATATCAAACTTACGTATTTTCCTTAGTAATAATTCATTATGATATATATACAAAATTTAAAATATCATCCACTGTATTAAATCAATTTCAATTGTTTATTTCATTCTGTTTTTTCGGAATGCTACCATAATAACAAATTACTTTTCTTATCATTTAGAAAAGGATCAGTAAAAAAATTAAAAAAGATAAATATTTAGATAATGTTATATAAATACAAAATGAACAGGTCGATTAAGTACAAAATTACAGTGTACTTACGTTGCCAATTCTTTTTGACGAATTCTCCTCCTCTAGCTACAAGATAGTCCAGGGTTTCTGGAATACCAGGTCGAGGGTCGACATAGTAAGGATCAAATCCTCCGGAAAATCCCACCGCACTTTCCCCATATCCGTGGTACGGTAGGGGCATCACTGGAGGGTGCTGAATACCTGGAGCTCCCACTTTAGGACCATTATTTCCATAACCGTTGAAACCCTTTCCTCCAAACTTGTGAAGTATAGTTTTTTTAGGACCATGAAACGATGGGGCTGGTTGGTGAGGCTGGTACTGGAAAAAGTTTCCAGCTAATTGGATGTTATTAGGATAAAGTCCTACAGCACCATGTCGGTGTAATGACGGTTCGTCGTGCCAAAACGGTTTCGCCGGAAGTGCTTTGTTCCCGCCATTACCATAACCATCGCCTAAAACTGCCATGCATAGACAGGCAAATAGTCCGATAGCCAAAAAGACCTTCATATCGTTGTAGTGATATGAATAGTGTTTAGAAATAAAATGGCGAAGTGGGATTACTAGTTAGTGGAGCTATGAGCCAGATAATTCTGCTGATAATGACATTGCAGAAGATATATTTATAAGAATTTCCTAGATCGACCTGACCAATGAAATTCTCCGTGTACAGGAATAGTACAGGTGATTCATGACTTCAACGGAAGTCCAGACTATGCGTGTTAATGACGCATTTTCAGTAACTGTCGGAAATGCACCTGCCTGGCTACATCAACTTTTGCAATTTTCTATTTACGTAATCCTCTTTGTATCGAGTTAGGTAACCATGACAACCGCTTTACCTGTACATTGTAATCCATCTTTTCAACATTGAAATAAGAAGAAAAACTATTTTTTAAATCAATGTTGTAGTGTATAAAAATTGCACTGTGACCATTAAAGCTAACGATGCTTTGGTTAATTGGTGGAAGGTGTGTATTAGTATGTAGTAAGTTCTCACGCCAAGTTACCGCATACATACATATACATATCCTTAGGCAGGTCAGATTTGATGAGAGCGACGAACAGATCAGTCATTTGTCCACGATCGGTTTCCAGCCCAAGTTCATAGATATACGTTTATCATCCTAGTCCAATGACTTGATTTTCCGTAGGAGGTCTTACACATATACATCACGAAGCTATTACGTAACTGCTTACATGACGTCACCTTTCCAATCGTCTTTTTCAGAAGAATGCTGCTTCATTAAGCAGTGTTCATTCGTCAACTATCTTCGATGAGTAGTTAATCGAAACTTAGAACCAATCTCCTGTGAAATGTTGGATCATTTTAGCTTGTTGGCATCATACAATTTGATTTTTATTCTTGATCTGATTTACATGTATATCTTAATTGAAACTAACTACCTTAAATATTATGTATCTTCGCGGATTTTATCTAATAAACTTTCAGAGGTCCTAGATAGAACGGAAGAACATAAACACACACGCGTATACAATCGGAGGATTTGTTTTAAAGACCGAACAAGGTACTTTGCAGTCATCATGTGTTTACCTTTGTCGCCATTGATCACGATGAATATGGTATAATTATCATATTTTTCCACGAAAGAGTTTTTAACAGTATAATACATAATAATAAACGTGTATTTGACCAATTTATTCTTTTCAAATCTTCAAAACTTCAACAGTGGAAATTGCTAGTGCTTTTTAATTTGACAAATACAATAAGTAAATATGCCTTGTCATTGTATTTTCTCCCTTTCTTCTATATTTCATGCATTATATGACCAGGGATAATGTGATTATGAAGATCTCATTCGAAGTAACTCAATGACCCGTGACAGGTTTTTGATTAAGTACTTTTAGTATAATCATTCTGCAAATTATCGTTCACTCCAGAGAAAGTTACCTTCAACTGAGATACGGGTTCAGTGAAAGTGAAAATGGATTTTACATCTTGTTCATGATATTCAATAATATGAAATATTGTGATTTCAATCTGTTTTATGATTCAGCTGAACGGCAATAAAGACTTCCTGTATTCTTATCTTCCTAGCATTTAATTTCATTTAAAAGCGTGCTTTTACATTTTAAATGCAATTATATTTATAATTTTACTTCCTTTATATAATTCTTTGCGCGGAAATTATTATACACCAATGACATGCATATATTTCATGTAAAGATTTCTGATGAAATTTACTTCATGTCATCTTTTTTCTTGATAAACCACTTTCGCTAAATTTATATGGAATGATTGACATCTTAGAAAACAAAATAAATATTGTATATATTTTATACACACATCAGTATGATCATACCTTGTTATTTCGATTTTATACATGTGTTCTCATGTATTCCTCAGAAATATGGGGGTTTAAAAATATTATAGAAAAAATCCACGTGTAATTTTGTAAAAACATACTTAATGTTAAAAAAGCACAGCTAACTTCTTTGTTTATGGTGAACTCGTCAAGAGAGAACACGTACTTTATGTATTGGAGAAGAATTTCACTATTCATTTAATTGCCAAAATGAATCAGTAAAATATGCAAAAAACGAAATGCGTAAATACCATTTCACTTTTCCAAGTCAAATTAAAATGCAAGGTTTGTATGATATATTCAACGTAAAAAATATCACAAAAAAATGTAGATTTATTGAAAAACTTGATAACTTATTGAGTTAATTTGTGTACCCTGTTGTGCCCCTTTTCATTGTAATTATGCAAAAGTGAATTATCATTCTTTACAGAAGATATCGTAATTTTGTACTTATTATCGAACGCCATGTATCATGTTAACTAAATGTATGTGACGTGTGTCAGAGAGTAATTGAATAAAACCTAAAAAATCCTTGTGTTTTTGTCTGTTATTAAGTGTAAGCCATTCTTGATATACAGTTGAGAAAATGAATAATTACAAAGACGAATAAAAACTTCTTGCAATAAGAATTGACTTCTGTGAAGACTGGGTATGTCTTTACTGAGCGTCGAACCCATCAGCCTTTGTAATGATGACGTGTTGTTAACCGCTTATATCATTTGAAATAAAAATAAGATTTAATAGATCACTCTAAAATACGTATCTAAATGTATTTAAAATGTTTTTATCGACAAATGTTTTACATATAACATATAGATTCAATAGACATTTGGTTTTACTCTATAGATGTAGTGAAATTCTATTTTATTTGCTAATACATAAGCGATAATTGCCAGCTGTCATATATTTTGAAAGCATGAGTGCTCGTGGAAAATCCCGAATTTTACTCTTTTCAACGTATTTGTTGAGTTTTGTCGGTATTGTATTATCCTTATATGCTTATTATGTGGAGACATCTGCAGAAAAGGACAAGTCATTCAAGGCCATGTGTGATTTCAGCGAAAGTGTCAGCTGTTCTAAAGTGTTCACGTCCAGGTAAGTTTGACTCGTCTGATTCACCTGGACAACGCGGGACAGGTAAAACGTAACGTTATGCACTAAGATAAGCTATAGTATTATACTATGCAGTTGGTGACATTGAGTCAGTCGTCTGACGTCATTCGCAGATTGATAAGTACAGATGACCGTACTACAGATACGGTCATTGACACTGCAAATTACATACCATACCTACACATCAGGATACATGTATTATCAGATCGGGAAAAACATACTCCCATTGGGGTATGGATTTGTTACCAGAAATAGCCAAAATAATTTAAACAGTAACTTTTGCATCGTATTATTAAAAGTCGAATTAATTTATGAGACCATAAAAAGTTATCTCGAAAAAATGTTAAATGATAGTGCTGGCTATTAAGAAACTACTAAAATGATGGCTGTAGTAACTGTACATGTGCTGTATTTATAATTACATAATAGGAGAGTGCTTTTGGAAGTACTACGGCTGTCTTGAGTACGGCTTTAGCTACATCAGTGAGTGTAAATTTAGAAGTGTAGAACATAAATATAAATTGTACAATTACATACTTGAGCTCTATAATTCAATATTATCATTAACATATTTACTGGTTTTACATCTAGAATAGAAAAGGCAATCTTAAACTAGTAGAAGATTTAAGCAGGGGCCTGGAAAAATATCTTAAACCACTAGGCACAGGACTAGTGAGCTGAAAAAATTTACTCATCCAAATTCAGCTATGAAATGGCAACTTAATCAACGGAGATGTGACTTTTTTCTATTTTTATTTTAAGACTTAGTGAAAAATTATGCAGTGATGACTGCTTTGGGTCAGACATTGTGTGCGACTTAGGCCTAGGCGTAGTGTTTGTTTATATCCTACTGACTTGGTGCTTTTAAATACAGACCAGTACATGTTGGTACCGCCCGAGAGCGAATATTTGACATCATGGGAGTTCCGGTGTAATCAAAAGTTAGAATGCAGACTGGAAGTACTGTAAACACATTTCTTTGTTTAAAATTTTCTTTACATTTTATTGAAATTTAAGTTGTAACATTAATATCATTGGAAAAAAGTACTCGTCCGACGGACGACTGACAGAGATAAATCTGGTTGTCCGAGACAATTTTCACTCGTCCATGACGACCGGATGAGTGCTTTTCCGGACCCCTGTTAAGTATTTTTTTACATATACTGGTTTTACATCTACTGTAAAAGCCTTTTAGCAGATGAGGAAATAGATTTTAGAAATGAGTACAATGCAGAATAAATAAAAGTATAGAGGTATAGAGATTGGGAGAAGAGGGATAGATAGAAATATGAGTTAACTGTTCTGATATTCCTATCAAATAACTATAACTATACTTTTTGAAGGTGACTTGTGACCTGGGTCTTGTACTTTTATAATTGTCAGTGATGTTTGGGGCCCTTATATTTGAGTTCTGGGTATACTTTTTCTGTGGGACTTATTCAAATTTTGAAAACACATTTTATCTTTTTTTAACTTGACTCATCAAGAGTTTGGAAATAATGCTTTTGACTCAACAGGAAAAAATCCTTAAAGAAATGCTGAGCTTATTGTTGGTACATGAAGCACATTAGTGCCATTAGCAATCCATCAATGTTGTTCCACCAATTTATCTATTATTTCTTACAAAAAAATCAAATCACTAGTACATGAAAAAATGTTTGTTTGGTTGCCCACCATCAAGAATTACAGATGAATATGGTTAAAGTAAACACAAGCTGAATTCTTTGTAGAAAGAGTTTTATCAAATCAACCAGTTAGATAGATGCTTATATTAGATCTACAATATTTGGGCTTCCGTATGTATACATAGATAAGCCCTGTATCTGTGGCCAACTCATCTGCAATCAACAAGCAGCATCTGTATAAAATGCCTGCGTATTTATATTTCACTTAATTATGTTATCTATTTTCTTAGAAATACCTAACAAATGCAGAGCTCATAATATACATGTCATATTTTTTTCAGGTATGGGAGAGGCTTTGGACTTCTCCAGTATATTGTAGGACATGAGAGTCCCCTGAACCAACCCAACAGTGTTTTTGGTGTGATGTTCTACCTCATACAGATTGTCTGTGGTATGTCCAATCGAACTTTTAAGGCCTTGGAGTTCACACATTCTATATGCTTTCTGAATAATCTATTTGGCTTATGAATGACAAATGCAAATCCTTTGATATGATTTGAGTAAAATGTAAGTTTTGAAATAGTTCTGCAAAGGTAAGTTAGTCCAAATTTTTGTGATATTCTATCAACATTTTATAGAATAGGAGGTTTATCAACTAAACTCTGATATAAAAAGTCGCTAGAACTACAGAATAATTCAGACATAGATAACAACAATAGCAAGTTTACTTTTTTAATACTGATATGAAATAATATTAATACATGTATGAATCACTAATCAATACTACTTGTATGAATCACTAATTAATATATGTATGAATTACTTATTTATAAATTTGTGAATTACTAATGATATATGTATGATCAAGTTTATAGCAGCAGATTCATGTTGCCTCAAACAAGGTGCTTTACATTTTATTAAATTCCAGATTTCCCTGATGAAAACTGGTTCTTCATTATTTTAGTTATGGTTATCTCCCTTTCCCACATACCCATCAATCATTCAGGGTAGATATCTTAAGTTTGCTCTTTGTTTAATATAATCCTGTCTTCCTGTCTTGTTTCTGGGAAACATAAATTTAATTTTTTTTCTAGTACATTATTGAAAGATGGGAAAATTTGACACTGCAGAAGTCATGTATTATTTTACAATTCTTTCTTTCAGTCTTTTATTGTTTCCCCATTCTCAGATTTTCAACAAAATATTTCTGACTGCAAGAGTGAAATGCATCATTTTTTTCTGATCTTTTCACTTACTTTTTGTCAGTTTAATAAATCTACAACATGTTTGCAAATAGCTTGCACAAATGTATATTTTGAAATAAAGGTAGAATAAAGTTTAATTAATTTTTCTCATAACGTAAGAACACAGGTTTTTTTTTTCTAGTTTTATCCTTTGATCCTTTAAATTCTAATGTAGTATTCATAATTTTCCACATTTGAAAAGAAGAATTTGCTCAGGCAAAATGTCAACTAACCAATTCTTTAAGGAAGAAATATGTTGGTCTGCTGTTAAACCATTCAAGATATACACATCTCTGTATTTTTATCTAGGTCACCTTTACCTACATCTTTCAGTCAGATGAAAGTAATGAAAATATACCTGAAATGTCTACTGACACAGAGACACAAGGGTTTAAAAATATAAAAAAAATCATAGCTCAAACTCAAAATGATATAATATCTTAACCTATTACTCAATTAATTTCCATTTCAGCCTCGAGTGTCCTGCCTTTGCTGACGAATATACAAGTTGTAACAGGTGTGATGGCAAACTTTGGTTCAGTCTACCTCGCCTACATTCTCTACTTTATCCTGGACGACTTCTGTGTCGTTTGTGTTTCTACATACATCGTCAATGCTTTCATATTATGGTGTGCAGTGATGAAATGGAAAGCATACAGCTCAACACAAAAATCAAAGAAAAAGTCCAAACAGAGCTAGTGATGGTCGACAATCAAAAACAACAGACAAGGAATCAAGCTCATAACATTTGTTAGTATGACTGTGTGATTTACAGCTCATGAAAAGCCTATACATTTGGTTTTAGCCTTCTTTGGCTCCAATCCATAAAACTACAAAACCCCACATTAAACCCTCAGATAACATTATTTTTATGAAGTACTTTGCTGATACCTTTGTAATGATATTTTATTGGATATTTCAGTAACAATGGAAATCACCTAATGTTAGCTTAAGTGAAAGAAATGTGAATAATTTACTAATTCTATCTAGTTTTTCACTCAACAACTATAGAATGTGTTTGTGAATGAATTTATATTTCCCCTAAAGTTGTGATGGGATTGCCTACATATTCTCATATGATGTTAATTTCATTTTAGGTTGCACTTTTATCTTTCTCAGATAAAAGCTATGCAAACATTTGACAAAATTTACTGTATTTTTCTACTTTTTCTGCAGATTTGAATTTTAATGAAATAGTCCATTTATTGCTTGACCTATTTCTGGAGTGATCATTTTACATTATCTATTTTGGCTGTCTCCTCTAAAGAATTCATGTTAAAGAATAAAATTGGTAATCTCATTATGAATGGATTTAACTCGTAGTTAAGCTTTTTTCGCAGAATAATTCAAACCAAGGTCTTAACCATAATTAACTCATTACAATTACAAAAATGATAATTTCTAATACAAATATATGAAGTTTGAGTGTATAAAAAGGATTTGAGATGTTCACATTATTCTGATTCTCATTAATGTGAGCACCTTGAGCCCAGGAAATGTTATTACATTTAAATTTGATATAAATGTTCTAGAAAGGATTTTTATTGTAAAACAAGTTAAAGCTTTGTTTGCTTAAGACATATTATTTAATTAAGTAAAGACACTAAACATTTTCTTTATCAGGAGGGAAATTTAATAGTTTAAAGAGGTAAGGACACTGTATGAATATTTTCTTTATCAGGATAATAGTTTTAAAGGGATATTTTAAGAAACGTTTTCAAATACAAATGTGTTAGTTGCTTGTAGTGGTGAGTTGCTGGATGCAATTTTTGTCCTGTCACAAATATTAAAAATCATAGGAAAATATGACCATAAGTGTTGAATGAGATGATAAGGTCAGTATAAATATTGTGATACTCATTGTGATTAGTTGATGATATTACCAAGTATTGATATATATTGCATGGAATGCAAGTATTTATTGGTATGCAATAACAGAATTGAAAAAATCGAATATTTATAGAACAGACTGTTTTTCAAGTACACCATGTGTGATGACTGAATTCTGGCTTTCTTTCACATTGTGAACAATTGAGATTATGTCTTAATTATTAAGTTAATTATTATATATACCTAAAATTAGGTTGTAGTAAAAACAGCTGTTTATAATTTCATGATTAGAACCTATTTTATTATGGGATTTTTGGTAGTTTCTTCGATTTTCATTATTTTTTGCTTTCTTATTTTGCTCTTTTTCTAATAATTTTTATTTATCTTTTCATTCATCATTTTATTTTTGTCAGGGCCTTACTTAAAATTCCATAGCAATCCTTGATGTAGTGACAGAGGATTTAAAACACTGAAGTGGTCAGAAAATTCTCACAATGATCAGAAATGGCAAATATACTGTATGCTGGTACCAGTGACTCAAAGCCTGGATAGGGTTTACCAGTGGTTAGTGAGAAGTTTTCATTGGTGCCAATGGAATGACAAGACTTTAAAAGCAAAATTGCTAGTCAATTAATATCAGTCTGACCTGTCTCAACAAATATACACCTGTGAAATGATGAATGAATGTTCCCAATTTCTATAGTAATTCCTATTTGATTGCTTTCACTGTCCATTGGTCATCTCTAGGCAAACTTTGACCAACTGGAGTTTGATGACCATGGATGTTTTATTTTGCGTTTTACTCTATCCCTGTCTAGAATGTATTGTTTCCAACACGAAAAAGTAAATGTGCTGCTATTAATCAAATGAGCCTAAATACAGTTAGGTTTGTACATTTTATGTAGTGCACATATAATAAGTTTATTTATACAATCAACTTTCTTTTGAGTTTTTTAAAGTGTAACAAATTCTAAGTCTTTATACTTCTGAATGAATTTTTCTATTCATGCCATTTTCAAAAGAAATGATATTTCAAACCCACCGAAAAACCAAGGCATTGTCGTCCAAGTACAGTCTATGATAAGACAGCAATTTAACATAATGAGTTAATGTGGTGCCAATAATGTTTCATTGGTATTTACAGAAGATGAAGAGACATGCACCATTGACATAGTTTTTTGTAATTTTAAAGCATCTCTTTACAACTTTGTCCCATATTTATGAACAAATGAAAGTCCCTTTATAGTTTAATGTTATGATGAAAGATACTTAGTCTGCATGTTAGAGTTTTACATTCGTCAATGATTATGTAGACATGTCAGTAAATATTATGTAAACATAATTGTAAGATAATGTACATTCCTACTGTGGAAATTTGTTTACCTCTAATCTTTACTATTAATAATGATGTGCCGTTGGAGTCTTACTCGAATCTCAATTAAATGATGCCATTCTTGTCATTCATTGGTGAATGCCTTTTGTACAAATTGGTTGAAAAGGTTGTACATGAGTTTCCATTTCATGTCAGTTATGAAACAAATCTTTATGTAATTGACTTTTTGTAAAAATCTATAACATGAAATGAAAACGAATTTTATATCTGTTTTTTATCACAATTTTTAGTTTAAAAAAAAGACTCATAGTTCACAGATTGGCATGAGGATGTATAATTTTATTTCTTATTTTTTTCTCTCTATCAATTAATTAAAACAAGTACCATAATGGTAAATCTTACAGTGTCTTTTAAACCTGTACAATGTTTAACATACTGTAAATTTGCAAGCTGTACAAAAAATTTCAAACAATTCGTGTGAATCTGAATACTTGAGGTGAACGATTTATGTGTTTTTTTGAGAGACATATCAGTTTTAATTGACCAAGACAAAGCTTGAATATAATTCAGAATAGTTATATGTACTTTTTTTGTATAATCATAATATTTATACAGTATTACACTAGGAGTGGAACGTTTAACGTTGAATTAAACTAACTAACAATTATATGATTAAACATGCAGAGAATCTTGACATATTGAGACTTTATATAATAATAACAGTATTTGTGGTTACACAAAACTTCTTGTAAATGGGATCGCAGTTTAAACCATCCCTAATAAAGTATTTATTAGAAATGTCATTTTTGTGAGAGATTCAATGCCATGGGATCGCGAAATATCACTTATTATTAGTCAATGGAAGATGATCCATCAATCAAACAGCATTATTCAGGGACGTATATATACCCTAACGTTATACGTCCATGAAATAAAAATTAATGTTTATTTGTCACTGCAATTACATGTGTATGATTTAATGATATTATTTCATTAGAGGATTCATCTACAGACCATACTGGGTTTGGTTTGTAAAGTGCCTTTAATTCTTCAGCATTAGCTGAAAAATGGTTTTATTTTCATCCATTTAACAGCTCACAAAGTGACTAGAAGATGTGTATGAGATAACCGTTTAACCATGTACGTGCATATAGATTCCTTAATATTTATTTTTGTTAAAATTCACATTTTGTTTTCAGAACTTCTTCCTTTTTGTTTTATATTTTACTGACATACTTGGTGTGGCTCTAATATTTCACTTTTTTGTGCTTTGTTACAATCCTTAGGTCCTCGCTTCACTTATTGAAGATATATGTTATCAAGTAGTAACATTCGGCTGTCAAAGATAGTTTTGTTAATTTTTGTTTGTTTTGGTAGTATATTCCTTGAAATCATCGATATACAGAATCATTATGATGCATGGGTTTATTGAACCTCTCTTTCTAATAAATTTAGGATTTCCTATTTGAGTCTTTCCTTTTCCCATTTTTGTGTAACAGCAATAAATTCATTTGTACAAGAACATAAGTAAAATTCCCCTAACCCGCACAGAAACAATTGTTAACTTCTATAAAGATTGCATATATGTTAAATTATAATTGCAGATCATACACATAATCTGGTCGCTGTATTCTTGATTATTTTCAAATTCCATTTCAATTAAACATTGTTGAATTATATTATTGTCTTTATTTATAACTCATTTATAGACGTCGTTAACAGTACTTTCATTGCTCCATATCGCACGCTTCTATTGACAAAAACGCACACTTTGAATAGATAAAGTTTGATACAAGTGTCCTTCAATTTTTGTGACCGAAGAAACCCTTTTGTCTTCGAGACATCACTGTATCAAACAACCTGGATCTGTTGGTCAGCAATAAATACTAATAATAACACGTCAACGCTGTTTCTAATTACAATCCGGAAGTTTAAGTCTATGATTTATATTTTATCGTTTTCGTCCTTTATTGTGTGTCAACTCTTTGTTCCACCGTCATATTCAATAGCACCAATATTAGAGAATAATATATGGAGATATTTGACACGTGACTCGCTGAGCTGAAATATTTCTAAGTTTGGTTTACCTTGACGAATTTCAAGACGTATTGATGGAATTTCTTGAAATCTACAAATCACCTTTATGGATCCACATCGCCTTGGGTAAAGACAGTTACATTTAGATCTGAAGCTTGTTGGAATGATGGATGGTCAAACGGACAGGGTCGTCAATCCGGGTTTATACCTGATAAATAACGACAGTATCGACTGTGCAATCCGTGATTCTTGCTGCAATTACTCTTAGTCAAGATTTTACCAGGAGTGGTAATTTTGTGTTCAATACTTCTGACAGCCAATCGTAAATTGATCAAAATCAATCCCTTTAAACGCTGTATTAATGCATAATATATTTACAGTAGTTGTTAATAATCTGCATTTTGTTTTAAAAGTAGAAAAATTGGAATTACCTTGATTTAATCTTACCCACTTCCTGATATAAAGGAACTTGATACAAGATGATGAGCGATTTCCTCGATTATGCAAATTATCATCCATGACTCCATCGTACAAATTTTGATTTCAAGTGAGAACATTAACAAAGATTTTTTTTTTTGCATTTGAGACATCTAATTGCATCACTGCAAAGAAATGGAATATTTCCCAATGAGGTCCTGGTGACGATCATGAAAATTGTACATGTTGCGACATGTTTACAACATTATTTGGGAAAGCAGGAATGTCGCTATCTAGAAATAGGAAAACTCACACGAAGGAAATTGACATCATCCCACTTAGTGGACAGGTTAGTTCGAAGCTATCGTTGGTAAAAAGATGGATATTAGCGCCTGATAGCGGCTGACACGTCCTTGATATCCAGATTTGGTTGCTATATACCTGTAATACCATAGAGAATTAAAACAGTCTTGTTGATGAAAGCCAACAAATGAATTATCATGACATGGAATTAAACTACTTGTATGTCCGATGTACAGTGCTGATCCGGTTCTATGGTATACACTTCTTCATGTCATGGAATGGATGACAGCAGGAAAATATTAAAGCATTCTGTCGACATGTGTCTTCGATACTGCAGGGGTGACGATAATTATCGCTCTATGCCCCCTCTTTGCTGGTCTACAGCAGATTTCAGAAGGGAAAAACTGACCAATTACAAATTGATACTTTTCTTTGAAAAATTCAAATGAGCGATTCCCAACCTCAAAGCCAGTACAAAATATCGTTATGTGGCCTCGGGATTCGTTTGACGTACATGTCTTTTTGTCTCATCCGTAAGGTGATGCACATAGAACATTCGATTCTGCCATGGACTGGTTCAGGGGTGGGCGATAGTAAGGTAACCCCCTGGAGTACCGACATTTAGAGCAAAATTATAACATAGTCTGTCGGTGATGGTTTAACATCACTCTAGCAGAGCTGGAATTCTACTTCAGGTGCCACTTAAAATCTCAAATTTAGTTTTTTTTTAACTTTTCTCTTTCCAAGCTTCGGTTTTACGCATCTGATTATATATTTAACGAAATTCTTGTAATTGATGTATGTTTTATTGCCTTGCACTGAAAAACGTGTAAATGTTACATCAATAAATAATACGGTAGATAATTCTTAAGCAATCAAATTAGAAATGAAATTACGTACACAACCTGGTGGTATGCAAGAATTATACGAAGAGAAATTGGTTCTATCATTGGTACGCGAGAGCGGTCACAGTATTGGATACGTCGGTCAAGGGAACACTGTTTGTCTTGAAAATCTACTGTGTTTTATTAATAAAAATTGGAATATCTTACTAAAATATCCTATATCTTCATAGGTATATGTAACATTGACATTTTTACGATAATAAGTAAATATTTCTACAATTTGTTCTGTTTTGAAAATTTATTTCTAACTCTGTATGCTATATGATGTGATTCCTGGAACACAGGATCAGTTCTCTCTCTAACCCTCTGTACCCAATCTTTGATCACGGGATTCGATTCGTAAAGATCTTCCTCCCAACACGTGACCAGCTGCATCATCTCAGTAACACAAAGTAGATCGGCAACTGAAATCTCGTTCCCGCACAAGAATGGCTTATTGTCCTTAAGAAAGTAAGAGGCCAGACTAGAAACAGCTTTCCGCACCTGGTTTCTTTCTTCCTCAACAAGGTGCCACTGTATTGGAGCTTTGTTGAGTATCGGCAAACTCATCTGTAAAATTTAATACAAAGTAATTCGTTTATTATGATAGTTTCTACCACAATAGGTTGGTGTTATTCAACTCTCATTCTAACTCTTGTATAAACATCTATGTTATACCACACGTGGCTTAACAATTTCGCATGTTCCGATTGACTGACAGAATGAACTTTGACCAGATTGGCGCCTCACGCACTCACAGAAATTCAAATGCGGAATAAAATAGTTCTACAACATTCTTGTTATCATCTAACTTTCATAAATATTTCTATCGTATCATGGACTTGAAAATACTATGGTTTTTAATTTTTTTGTTATCAGTTGAAATTAATCAAAATATGTCTAAAACAAATCTGGAAGTGGCATTTTACTTCAGATAATATTATTGCGCTACAACCAAAGTTCGTAAACAGTCAATAATGTTTTTTTTTTTTATTTATATTATGTAGTTACAAAATCCGCAAGCTTTAGCTAATTGTGTAACCTCAATAGATGTTCTGATCGTCATGCTGCTATTTGGGTCTGTTTTCCTTGATAGACGACCAGAGAAAGATAAGAGACCCTTAGGGCATGTATCTCTCACCTGATTTAGTTCGCTGAAATTGTTTCATCTTAACTCAATAAAAACATTAGAAGATTTATATCTATTAACTCTATTGTGACGCAACCCTCCTGCCACTTTGCAAAGGACGAGTCCAACCAAATTTTTAAAAAAAATCCAATCTTTCTTACCCGTGGAGTATGATTCCTAATAAAAAAAAAAGGTTCTATTTTTCCTACCAGACACCGCATCTCCCGCCTCAGGGGACCAAGACTCCCCATTTATACAACAATGAAGTCTCATTCACTCAAAAATGCAAAATGTGTTCATTTTCCTCAAGGATGCTTGAATTTGGTCAAAATTCGCTCAGCCTTTCATGATAGCACATAGTACAGAGTTGTAGGAAAAGTTGACGGACGGACGACGGACGCTGCGATATGTTATAAGATGGCTTTTTCCATCGAGTCAGGTGAGCGAAAACGTATATTGGCACCGATGGTAAATGGTGAGCATTTTTGTTCAGCAGGTATCAGTTACAAATATAACATTTTTATCCGATATGTCACATGAAACATCGTTTGATCCCCAAGGGTGATAATTGCGTTAGTGTATTGGAATTCATATGAGAAAGATCAAATCGACCTCGCTAAAGGTCAGTAGAGACATCATTGATATCATTACGTAATGAATTTATTACACATACATCCCTGTCCAGATCTTACTGCTTATCACAACTTGTTAATTCCTAAAAATCTGAAGTAGTAGTTATGGTGACACAGTTATGTAAGTTAAAGGTTAACCGTAAGGATTATAATTTTTTTTTTAAATGATACAAACCTCCCTTCCTTTTATAGATAAAACACCTCGCCACAACTGCAACAGTTTTTATCAACTGGTTTTACTAATGTTCCACTGTAAGGGCTCTTAAATAGATACTTACGAGTTCCAAATATAATGTACAACTGTATCTAGTATTCAAGTGATGCCAGTTCATGGATTCGTCAACTCTGGCCTGCGCTTTGAGATCACTGCGTGGATACCAGTGGTCAGGCACATTGTATTTAATGGCTAGGTATTTCAGGATAGCAACACTATAATGAAACAAATGTTCAATGGCCAATTATATAATTCTGCGGTAATGAGAGAAAATTTTGTTTGTTTGTTCAATATTAAAAGCATGCAGTAGCAGGAGAGAAAAAGTGATAGTGTAACTTATTAGAATAAATACATTTCATCGTCTTAATACAATACTGTCTGTACCACAACATCGTGATATGTTGATAAACTACAAAAATACCTCACAAATTGTGATAACCTACCAAAAAACCTAACCTAACAATATTGAAATGCAACAAAATCAATATTACAATATCGTGATAACCTATAAAATAACTAATATCTTCGCGACATGCTTCAAATATCATCGCTATTGACTGTAATCACCTCTGTGTACTGATACTAGCGAGTATTTTGTGCACGCTGTGCATGACATCTGCATGAAGGCGTATCATTGTTCTTTACGCTATACTCACCTCTCTGTGAGTATGAATCCGTCATCATCTATAACAAGTACCTGACAGAGAGGGGTGATCTTTCGGAACCAGTCAGTGTATTGTTCATCTGTAAAATTACATCATAAATTAGAGGACGCCGCCGAAACGAGCAGAAATCAGCGCAGAGACAGCTTCTGATACAGAAGTTTATCTGTCATTTCTAACTTATCCTAAAGATTTTCCATAACATGAAATATATACATCAGCTGGAGTTTTGAAGACGTTATTTTGAAACAACTCTATCAACAAGTTATTGTCCTACATTTCCACACGACTTCAGTCCTATGGGAGATTTGTTAACGAACTTAATATTATCCACATGCATACATTTGAAGACAATCACAAGAGTATTGTGGCATGTCAAGTTATTTATCATGAAGTAATTT